ACCTTTATTCTCCAGAAGGGGGTTCTTTGTGTAGTAATTCTCTCTCACCCCACTTATCTCGCTGAGTAATGAAGAAGTGGTATAGTTCAATGTATTCATTGTAGATGTCACAAACACACAATCTAAGGAGTGGTATTTTTCAAAAGCAATTAATCATGACAGTACCAGTTCATATTTAAACATTTTGCATCTAAGATGAGGATAGGAATCATCTAACACTCCAGATGTTATATTGCAGCTCCTAGTATTCCTCCTCATTAGCTAAGGCTACTCTCTCTATGACCCACCTCAGAGTTTACAATCATCAGGGGAGGCCCTTCTCTTGATCCCACCACCCTCGCAAGCACAATTAGCATGGATGAGACACAGGGCCTTCTTGGTGGTGGCCCCCCGTCTGTGGAATGCACTCCCAAGTGAAATCAGGGTGACTCCTTCTATCCTCTCTTTCAGGAAGAAACTCAAGTCTTGGCTTTGGGACCAAGCATTTGGGCAGCTGGCTGAGCAACAACTGTAATAATGACTCGTGATAATTGTCAATTAAGAGACCTTGGACTGGAACTTTGGGCTATGATTTGGATTTGCGGACTCAGGCTTGGTTGTGTTAATATTTTAGGGCCAATATTTTTAATGTATTTTTATTGCTTTTTAAATGCTCTTTTATTGCTGTTTACCTGTTTATGTCAATGCTGTGCTTTAACTGTTTCTTTGTTAGCATCTAATGACTGCCAATTGTAAGCCATCCTGAGACCCCTTCAGGGGTTGAGAAGGACTGGATACAAATGCTCTAAGTAAAGAAATAATAAATAGGAGTTGCAGCCCAACAACACCTGGAGGGCTACCTGCCCTCTGAGCTGGATTTAGATTATTTAGTCTGTTGAGTGAACAATGTAGAATAAGATTTTTTGTGGAATCATATACACCTTTCAGCAGTCCATTAATCTTCACAATTCCTCTGCTAAAAGAGAGCTAATATATTATGCACGTACACTGACAGTGAAGAAATAGTGCTTAGGTTTTTAAAAAAACCACCTTCCAAGGAACAGCATGAGAGCCCAGAGCCAGATGTTTTTAAGCATCTTTCCAAAATGATCTGCAATGAATATAGATGTGTTGGCTTTACTCTATTACTCTAATACCTGGAAACAGTTGAAAAACTAGCAGAATAGAGTAGATTATCACTTAACTGGCACCCATTGGTTGATGCTGCATAAATGTAGTTTCTGGTTGCTTGAGTTAATATTTTTTTTTAAAAAAAAAACCTTGTGCTGTAGCTTATACTATACCATGCTATAAACTCTGTGTTGATGTGATATTAATATTTAAATATAGTAATTGAAAGCAAATAAGCCTAATTTAACTCAGTTTTACTGATTTATAAAAACAGCTATTTTTTCTTTAAAATATTATTTCTTCATTATAATTTTTGGCTGGTTGCTTGAGAGTCCAATGGATTTTATTACCCTTTGAGGGGATGGGGCAGGGGTGATCCAGGTAAACCAACCCCAGCAGATTCCAAGGGCCTACTATATAATGGCACTTAAAAGTAAAGGTAAAAGTTTCCCTTTGACTTTAAGCCTATTTGTGCTCATCCCCATTTCTAAGCTGAGCAGCTGCTGTTGTCCGTAGACACCTCCAAGGTCATGTGGCTGGCATGACTGCATGGAGCATCATTACCTTCCCACCAAAGGTGACGGTGCTCCATTTTACCTTCCCACCGTTACCTTCCTACACACATTTGCATATCTTTGAACAGCTAGGTTGGCAGAAGTTGGGACTAACAATGGGAGCTCATCCCATCCTGCAGATTTGAACCAATGACCTTCTGGTCAGCAAGTTCTGCAGCTTAGCGGTTCAACCCACTCTGCCACTGCAGCCACTTATAATGGCATTTAGGCATCCACATATGTTGGCACATAATATAATGAGACTTGAGCATCCACAGATTTTGGTATTGGGGTTTGTGGAACTGACCACAGTGGATACCAGAGGCCCACCATATAATGGGACTTCACCATCCATTGCTTTTGGTATGAGGGGGGTCCATTTTTTGCAGTGTTCTCAATGGCAAAAGTATTATAAAAGTCTGTACCTCCTGAACAATTCTACTGCATCCTTTTGTGGGACTATTGCAAGTGCTATTCTTGAGACTGGTAATTTTTCATCATTTTTTTCTTTTTTTATTCGTGACTTCCTTTTGTTATACATATCTGTGTTGTGATTTTGTTAGTGTATGCCAATAAATATTGTTGTTGGTGATGGTAGGAGGGGGACAGTTTTCATGGAACTAACTTCAGCAGATACCAAAGGTTCATAATATAATGAGACTAGAGCAGCCATGGAATTTGGTATCCACAGAGGGAATGGTTTCTGGGACCAAACTCTACAGTACAACACTATATAACAAAATCTGGAGAGAGAAAAAACTGTTCCTGGTTTGAAAGTATTATTTCCTGTTTAATTATGTGGTACTTACTTTGAAAGTAGTTATACTCCAGAAACTTCATTTTCGTGGCTGCCACAAACTATGTTGAATTGGTTGAGACTCTGTGACATATTCACTGAAAACCTTTAATCAAAATCTGCTGTAGGATGACCCACAAAAACAAAGATTTGGTAGTTTAATTTTTTAAAATCCATGTTTTCATGATGAACTTAGGAAATTACATTTATAACCCAGGAACAAAAATCGTGTAATAGGACTTGAGCATCCAAAAATTTTGGTATGCGGTGTGTGTGTTCTATATCAAATTTCATCGAATACCAGGGGCCCATTGTAGCATCCATGGATTTTGGCATCGTGGGGTTGGGATGTGTCCAACAACCAAACCATAGTGGATTTCAGGGTCCCACTATATTAGTGGTTCCCAATCTTTTTTTTTTTTACCAGGAACCACTTAGACCAGGGTCCACTCTCCAATATTAGTACCAAAAGAGTTACAAATCAGTTTTTGCTCAACTTTAGATTCAATTTGGTTATTTGGGGTGCTGATTCAGAAAATTGCCTTGGATAGACCACATCAGCTCTAGTTTCTAATACAAAACACATGCCATCCAGTAGTCACCATCTATTCACCACAGAAAACAATATTTAATAAGCCTCATAAGAGGGTTTTGTGAGACAAGTAGCTCTTATTGCAACAGTGTAGTAATGATGAGGCTGTGAACCATATTTTAGTTCTTGCAGACCACTGGCGGTCCATGGACCACAAGTTGGGAAACACTGCACTATATAATGAGATTTGACTAAACAGTTCATCAGATAATTTTGCTCCCTCAGCCATAATTCAATAGTTGGCTCCTGCACTTTGCCACTATCCCCTGTCCTATAGATATAGTGTTCTAACCGATATGGCCCTTTAGCCCTAATTTATCATCTTGTTCCTCCACTTTTTCCAATTGCCTTGTCCTTACAACTTTATTGCACAAGCCCCTGCCCACCTGAGTTAGTATTTGACTACCATGTCAGGCTATTAGTTGTTGATGATGTTATTTTATGCTGTTTACAATGTTGTTTTTATAAACTTTATTGTGTGATGCTTTTATGTTTTAATCTATGTTTGATTGGGCTAGGTCCCCATGTTAGCCACCCTGAGTCCCTTTGATGAGATGGTGCCAGGATACAAAAATAAAGTTGTGTTGTTGTAGGTTTTTTGGACTGTATGCCATGTTCTATCCCAGGATCAGATCCCAGGTTTTCTGTTTATCCTAGATCACCTGGCAGTGCGGACTCATATAATCCAATTGAAAGGGAGTTCTTTCTCCCACCCTAGACATTCCACAGATATATAAAGCCCACTTGCCTAGCTTCCATCAGTTCTCTCAACCTTTAAGGATACAGGCATGTAGCTGGGGGGGGGGGGCGCTTCAGCCTCCCCCCCCCCAAAATTCTCAGGGTGGTCCACGAGAAGGCCTTATTGGTACATTATTTAAACTGTTTATTCATATCATGATCTGATCACCATGCTCAATATACCCCATATGCATGGGGGTATTGGGATAATGATACAAAAGGTATGCTAGGGTAGATCCTCAGCCCCCCCCCCCCTTTGAATCAAACTCAGCACCTCCGAATCAAAATCCTGGCTACGAGCCTGCTGCCATAGATGCAGGCAAAACTTCAGGAGGGAATGCTTCTAGAACATGTCCATACAGCACGAAAAACCTACAACAACCCAGGAATTCCAGCCATGAAAGCCTTCAACAATGTGTTCTTGTTGTTGTTGTTGAGCAATGAGCATCCATGATTTTGGGGGTGGGGGACTGTCTTTTACCAAGCTCCAACAGATCCTATGGGCCCATAGCAAAACGTGACTAGAGCATCCAGAGATTTGATATCCACAGAGGTCTGGTAGCCAAATGCCAACAGATGCCAAACCCCCACCATCTGATCGCTCAACCTCCAAGGATGCCTGCCATAGATGTAGGTGAAATTCCAGGAGAGAATGCTTCTAGAACATGACCATACAGCCTGAAAAACCTAAAACAACCCAATGATTCCAGCCATGAAAGCCTTGGACAATATGTTGTTGTTGTTGAGCAAAGAGCATCCACCATTTTGGAAGGCAGGTGTCCTTACCAAGCTCCAACAGATCCTATGGGCACATAGCAAAATGTGACTAGAGCATCCAGAGATTTTGACATCCACAGCGGTCTGGTAGCCAAACGCCAGCAGATGCCAAACTCTTACTCTGTTGGGCACCTTGCAGAGGATGGTGTGCCCTTTGTTGCTGTGTGCAAGGACTGGTGCTGCCAATCCTTCCCTATCTATGCTTTGGCTGAAAATGACAGGCCAAAAATAAAGGACAGAGTGGTGGGGGGCTTCCCAGGGCTCCCTCCCAGCGCTGTCTTCCTCCCGGTCCCTCAAGCCAGGCCTGGGCAAGAAGAGCAGATGGACATTGAAGCCTTGAAGGCTCCTCCCCCGACTCTTCCTTTGCAGAGCCCAGCGGCTCCGTGGCTCTCAGTGCGCAGGCACGGGTCGCGCGCCAGGCTCGAGGAGGGAGGGAGGGAGAGGAGGAGAGGGCTTTGGTAAATAATACGTGGCGTCTGAGGCTGGAGCCGCTCAGAGTGGAGATGGGCACCGAGCGAGAGATCTGCAGCTAACCCGGCTGCATTTGCTCACCCGGCCTGGAAGGAGGAGGAGGAGGAGAAGGAGGAGGAGGAGAAAGAGGAAGAGGCGGCGGAGGATTAGGATCAGGTAATCAAGCAACCCTTCCTCAGTTGCAGCCCTCCCGAATTGGCTTTGCTTCGGGGCAAAAAAAAGGGGGGAGAGGAGGAGATAGGAAGACGTTCACACCCGAGGGAGTAGAGGGCCTAGAGGAGTAATGTCAGCATTGGAAAACTGTTTGGAGCTCGTGCAAACTGTGTGTAGCAACTCACCATCTCTCCCAAAAGAGGGAGAAGGAGAGAGGTCTCCTGTGAATGGGAGCTACTTACACTGGAAGCAGATCTAGCTCCTAATGGGACGCCTCCTTCTTTCCCTCTGCTTGCATTTCCCTTTCCTTCTCCCAACTTTCAGGCTGTCCTTCTCGCCCTCCCAAAGGGCACACTAGTTGGATGAAGGCTGCTGGTGGTCAAGGCGTGGAATAGGTAGCCACGTTGGGCGGGGAGAAAGCGGGTAGTTCTTTTCACAAGGGAAAACTGTGGAAAAGATTGGCCTGCTCTTGAAACCTTTCTCTTCCGAACACCAACAGAGGAAGAGAAATGAGTTTATGGGGCAGAGAGAGCGAGTCTTTGGACGCTGGCCCCGTTGGCTCGCTGCTCTGGCATTCAGCACCTTGGAGAGCGACCTCCTGCAAGAAGAGCACAGCACAAGGCATCCCATTCCCTATTTCCTTCCTTCCTTCTCCAGGGTCATGTAGATCATGGGCAGAGGCGGCCCTAGGTAATTTTCAATGGTAAGCAAACAGTATTTTGGCACACACACCCCCCTCCAGCCAATCACTGATATATATTTTCTGTTCGTCGTGGGAGTTCTGTGTACCATATTTGGCTCAATTCCATCATTGGTGGAGTTCAGAATGCTCTTTGATTGTAGGTAAACTATACATTCCAGTAACTACAACTTGCCTATGTCAAGGTCTATTTTCCCCCAAGAGCGCCTCAAGAGCACCCCTGGGCAAAATCAACTATACTGCAAATGCTTATTTTGAGTAATGGGTGAGCCGCCCCTGATCATGGGTTATCACACCCCTTGTCTTCTAAACCCCATTCCCGCCCACGCCATGGTTTCCCACCAGACAAGTTATTGTAGTTAACTATCTTTCAGTAGGCTTCAGTGTATAGTAACTCTCCCAATAACAGACATCTGAGAGTCCCAGCATCAGTTGCTTGCTCTGGTCTTGCAAACTCAATTGATTCTTGATGTAATCAATCCACTTGTAAAGGAGTCCTCTTTTTCTACTTCCACCCACATCCCAATCATTATAGTCATTTATAATGCACCATTTTGTCTCATGATAAGTCCCAAGTATGATGGCCTCTATATGGCAATGCTGGCTTCTAGTGAGGACTCTGCCTTTATTTGCTCCTGGGTCTGTTTATTTGTCTTTTCAGGATGGTCCACAGTATTTGCAGACTCTCCTTCAGCAGAAAAAGAAATTTAGACCGTGGCACTTTTTGGAAAAAGTATATTGCGGGCCCTTGGTATCTATTGGGGTTGTTCCAACAACTCTGTTGCTATCAAAATCCATGGATCTGTAGTACCATTATATGTAGTGGCATAATATAATAATATTCATTATATAAAGTGGAGAAAATCAAGGTTTGCTTTGAAGCAGTGGTTCTCAACCTTTTTTTTTAACCAGGGACCACTTTGACCAGGGACCACTCTCCAACATTAATTCCAAAAGGGGGTATTAATCAGTTTTTGGTCAACTTTAGAATTGGTTTGGTTATTTGGGGTGCTGATTCAGAAAATTGCATTGGATAGACCACATTGGCTCTAGTTTCTGAAACAGAACATATGCCATCCAGTAGTTGCCATCTGCTCACCCACAGAAAACCATATTTATTAAGCCTTGGTTTATAATAAGGTTTCGTGAGACCAGTTGCTCTTGTTGCAGTGGTATAGTAATGGTGAGGCCACGGACCATATTTTAGTTCTTGCAGACCACTGGTGGTCCATGGACCACAAATTGGGAACCACTGCACTTGAATAAACAGTTCAGCAGATAATTTTGTTCCTTCAACTATAACTCAATAGTTCTTGCAGACCACTAGTGGTCCACAGACCACAGGATGGGAACCACTTTGGAGGACTATTTTTAAAATTATTAATCTGTGGATAGTGGGATCCATAGATATGCAGGGCCAGCTGTATTCAATTGTTTAAAATGTACTCAAGGCTTGTTTTTCAAAGCAGTAGCCTGGATATCATTTGAAGAAAATTAGAAAGGCTTCTGCTTATAATTTAATGGCCATTGTTTGATTATTCCTTCCAGGAAATATTCAGCAATTAAATTCTAGACACACTTTTCTAACAGAGCATAACAGAGTTGGAGAGGAACATATTTCCCCACCATCAACTCATGTTGGCTTGTTAGAGAGATACGTTACCTAACAGAACTGTGCATGTTATACAATTGGATGGCATTGCATTTGTGGCATGGGCTTAGATTCTTCCACTTGTCAGCTGAGCATGTGAGCTTTTAAGCTCTGTTACTGTTATTCACCTGAATGTACAGATACATGATATGCATCAATGTCAATGAACAATTAAGGCCTTGTTTGGACCAGTATTTGGAGATAGATAGATAGATAGATAGATAGATAGATAGATAGATAAGATAAGATAAAGGTTTCCTCTTGACATTATGTCTAGTCGGGTCTGACTCTGGAGGGTGGTGCTCATTTCCTTTCCTAAGCTGAAGGGCTGGTGTTGTCCAAAGATGCCTCCAAGGTCATGTGGCTGGCATGACTGAATGGAGAGCTGTTACCTTCCTGATGAAACAGTACCTATTGATCTACTCACATTTGCATGTTTTCGAAATGCTGGCAGAAGCTGAGGCTAACAATGGGAGCTCACCCTGTCCCACGGATTTGAATTGCTGACCTTCCAGTCAGAAGTTTTGTAACTTAGCAGTTTAATTCGCTGCGCTACCGTAGTCTCGCAGATAGATAGATAGGTAGATAGATAGATATCCATCCTTAAGAGCTGCAGGGGAGTCTAAATGTACTTCTGCTACAAAAAATCATATTTTTTCAGCAGGAAAACATATAATGCCAGAAAAATGTGGCTACACCCCACTGGTACTTCCATGGTGATAGCAAACACTATTCAGAATGTGATGCTGCCAATGGCAATTAGCGGAGCTTGAAAATATTAGTTCTTTTCCATACTTGTTTTGTAATTTTTGGAGCTGCAGTAAAGCAAAAAGTTATTCCAAATTAGTAATCAGATTAGAAATGAGCAAAGGTTCCTTCAAAATGTGAGAGAGTGCTTCAGGATAGGCTTTGAGGACTATTCACATTATGACATTGGGCTTGTTTTACTTTGGAAGATAAGCTCTTTTTCTTGCTGTTACACTAAAATGCAGAGGAATGCTCAAGCCCATGAACACTAATCAGGATATTTGTCTCCTCTGGACAGGAGAAATGCATTTTTGGAAATCCTGCCCATGCTCTTTCCATGGTGAAAAAAACAACTTATTGTTGTTGTTTTTTAAAAAAGCTCTAAGCAATATATCTCTCTTCATTTATGCAACCCATATTGTATTTTTGCATATAGGACCCCTTACTTCAGATGAGTTTATTCAAAACAAGAAGAGCTGTTTGGCAATGGAAGATGCTGCCTTGCAGGGTGGTGGAGCCTCATTCTGTGGAGGGCTTTAAGCAGAGGCTGGATGGCCATCTGTTAGGGTGCTTTTATTGTGTATTCCTGCAGCGCAGGGGGTTAGACTGGATGGCCGTTGGGGTCTCTTCCAATTCTATGATTCTATTATTAGAAATCAGTAGTGGACATGGCAACAATGGCCTTTTGATAAGGAGGGGGAATTGTGGTATGCAAAGGGGCCTTGTAGCACTTAAAAAATTAACTGAAAGAACAGAATTGGTAGCATGAGCTTTTATAGACTAAGTGTGCACCTACACTATAGAATTAATGCAGTTTCACACCACTCTAACGGCTTTGGCTCAATGCTATGGAATTATGGGATTTGTAGTTCTACAAAGTTTTTAGCCTTCCTTGCCAAAGAGTGATGATGCCTCACCAAACTACAGTTCCCATGATTCCATAACACTGAGCCATGGCTGTTAAAGTGGTGCCAACCTGCAGTAATTCTATAGTGTAGGTATAAGTCTGCTTTCTTGGATGCATGGAGTGAATATATATATTTCAGACTAATATCACTACGTCTTTGAATCTGAACCCCTGGACTGTGGTACTATTGTTGTTATGCCCACAGTAGCCACATGGTTTATCACTATGAGTTTCAAACTAACTATAATAAGTTATTATAGTATAAGGAATAAGTTATTATAATATCCATATTATGTAAAACTAGAATACAATAAGAATTAATGGCTCTCTCAAAAAGTAAATCTAAACATTATTTTAGTACTTTTGGTATAATCCTTTTCTCAGAATAGTCTTCAATCATAATCAGAAAACATGCATATGAGACTTATTTAGAAAAGCTGCAGACATTGGTACTACAAAGCGTATTCATGAACAAGGCTGGTGTTAAGTTCAAAAGCCATAAACTTTTAAACATTGGACTGGTACAGCAGTGATCATTTGCCTATCCCAGCCTCTCCCAGTGGCTGGGATTGTAAAATATAACCATCTGTTTAGAAAACAGCTCCTGAACATCTTATCCAAAATTCATTAAACTTTACTTAACAGCTTTGTTTTGTTATGCTGAGGTGACAAACAAAAGATGCTTTGCATCTTCATTGTTCTAATTAGAATAAAAGGCTGCAAGCTACTGAAGTGTATCAGTTGAGTGTGTATTCTGGTTGGTTAGCTTCATTTAGATCACGTATTTCTCCAAGGAGCTCAGGTGAATGTGTGTATGATTCTCTTCTCTCATCTTCAGAGTAATACTACTAGAAGTAAGGATTGGTAGTCCAAAATCACTCAATGAAGTTCATAGCTGAGTGGTAATTAGAATACAGGTTGCTATAATTCTAGAGTGCATCTACACTGTAGAATTAATGCAGTTTGACACCATTTCAACTTTGGCTTAATGCTATGGA